CCCCCTGGCCCCCCTTGGCGACGCCACTGTTTACATGTAAAACAAATAGATTCGAAAAAAGGTTGAAACCACAATAAGGGTTGCCTTGCTGTTTATGAATGCCACAGTGTTTGCTCTCCGAAACATTTTTGCTTCCAACTTGTTTGTTGCTGTTCAGTAATACCTTTGATAAAGAAGAGAAAGTGTGGTCATCAACGTATGGAAGTCATAGGATGTATGGTTTTGAAGATAGCAGGACCTCCAACTCTTCTGAAATTTGTTTTCTATTCGAACTGATAATTTTGTTTTATCCCCCTGGCTTTCAAGCCAGACGGGGATATTGCAATCGCACATTCCTTCTGTGTGTCCATGAGTATGTAAACACCGGCAATCGTGGACCTAGGACAACAGGATTGGGCACAAACAATACGTCCACGATTGACCGAACGTCCACCATTGAAAATCGTGTACAAAACCAATGAGAGCTGTTGCTAGTACAAACAAAGGAATGAGGATTAGGGACAATGGGGGTCCACGATTGCCGGTGTTAACACAGCTGGATGTGCATAGGTAACCGTGAGTTTGTTTCTGCATTCAATAGGGGACGTTGAACAAAAGAGGACAATAGGGTCCCCAATTCCCGAAGGTCCCCAATTTAGAATCATGTATAAAACATATGGGAGGTCTTCCTAAAGAGTACAAACTAAAGAGGGACAATAGGGGGTCCCCGATTGCAGGCAACTATACACTCGCGCGTGTATTAATGTATGTGTGATCCATTTTGGTTAGACCTCACTGTAAGTTCAGTCATCGTTCTCAACCGAATTTGATATGCTGGTCCCTAGGGACACCGCGGCTACTGAGCTCAGGCCATTACATGTCAGTTTCTTAGACTCTAGTGTCACAAAACTTATAACACACACAAAACACTAGGCCAGTTTACTGGTCCCTAGCAACACCGCGCCTACTGAGCATGAGGATATTATGTACAACATGGGGACACCATGGTGATTGTATGGACACCATGGGAACACCATGGGGATTTTATAGACACCACAGGGACACCAAAAGGATTTTATGGATACCACTGATATGGGAACATCTTGGGGATTTTATGGACACCATGGGGACACGATGGGGATAAAAAAAAGACAGCATGGGAACACCATGGGGATTTAATAGACAGCATGGTAACACCATGGGACCATTCTGAATATCATGGGAACACAATTACACCCACTTGCACTCCCAACGGGCACACTTTTGTCCGAATTCCCTGTACGAGTGTTGAAAGAGCAATTGGGGTGTAGCAAATAAAGCAATGGAAGACCCTTACGATACCATGGGGATTCTATGGGTTTCCATGGGTTATCAAGAAATCCCTTTTTTATGCTAACCATGGGAAACTCATAGGAACACCATGGCCACCATAAGAACATTTTGCGGATTTGATGGACACAAATGGAACACCATGGGGATAAACACCATGGGGATAAACAACATGGGGATAAAACACCATGGGAACACCATGGCACATTGTGTAAGAATTATGAGTGTTCTTAATTATGAGTGTTCTAATAGCAATTTGTTTAAATACTCTGTTCGTAAGTGAAGGCAAATGAAACCTACAGTGTTTTTTTTGTGGAAATGAGAACAAGAACTATGGATAATAATTTTGATTCAGTTGTAATGTTTGGAATCATTTATGAAAAATATAAATAAGGAACATGGTGATAATATGGTAGAACTTGAAAAGTGGTATAGGCGCAATATGTACATTGTAGGCATTGGCCATGGAGTGCTCAAGACACTCTGCATAGGGTTCATGGGACAATCCCATAATTGCCTATGGGGTGCACAGCATAAATTATTTTACATAAAAATATAAACGTAAAAATCTTGTAAGAAAATTGCTTTGGAAATATTGATGGGAACAAAGTGGAATTCTTTTGGGATGAATCACCATGGGAAACATGTTACAACACCATGGCGAAAAGGCATTAAGGCACCATGGAAAACCCATGGGAATGTACACCATGAATTGCATGGTGTCCATTTTCTCCTTGGGAATCCATGGGAAAAATCCCAAGTCACAATACCCTATGGAAGTTGCCATGGGACATTTTTGTAAGGGAATCCTTCTATTTTTGCTGGTGGGGCATTTGAGTCCAACTACAGAGTGACTCAAAAAGAAGGAAACCCAAATGGCGCACCCTATTTTTAGCGTAATTTTGCATGTAGCGCTTTCCATATCTAGAATGTGAAGGCCCAATTAGCCTTCTTTTAGTGAAAGAATCATTCAAATCACTCATGTTCTTTTCCAGCAATGGAATTTTGGACACAATTTTAAGAATTTTTTCCACGGTTCATATTTCAATGAATACGTGATATAAAATGAAACCATGTCCTATCATGAAAAGGATATCAGAATAAACCAATAAGTCTCGGGCAGCCAAGTAGAAGGCAAGGCTAGAGTATACACTCTTGACATTATAAAGCATGTTGTTTTAACAGTGGAAGCAGAGGTGTTTAAATAAAGGTTAAGTGCCAGTTCTCATGGTTATGAGATAGTTCTGATGTGGTTTTTTTTTGATAAGCGAGTTTTTTGATTTGCTAAAATGTCACGTACCTTTATTTTGATCCTTGGACAAAATTATGTGTTTAGAAGTCCATAACTGGAAAAGTACATCAGTGATTAGAATGATCGTTTTAAAAAGAAAGAATTTACCCTATTGACCTAAGCTACAAACTACTACTGAGTAGTAACCTGTCGTATGCATTTTTTTCCATTCAAGTGTTCACAACACATTTAGTCTTCCGTAGTATTTGGTCTTTGACCCTCAAAGAGCCTTTAGGACGTTAGGTTAATTGGGCTTTCACATCCTAGATCTTGAACGCGCTACATGTAAAACTTCTTCAAAAAATATAGGGGGCGCCACTTGGTTTTCCTTCTTTTCTTTTCTTTCTTTGACTCACCCTGTATATTATTACTTACCTAATTGATTTATTAATCTTCAAATTTGTACGATCCAAAGCATGTGACTTGCAACAGGCGGCACATCCCCAGACTGACACGTCTAAAGTACAACAGCCAATCCGCTGCGCAGTACACCTGCGCACATACAGAACCATAGTAAAGGTGCTAAATAGATCCACTGCATTCAGCAGCCATATGGGAGGGGTGTTTAGTTATGTTAATTCATTAACAACGAATGCACATGAGGTCTAAGACTTACAGGAAGTCAACCTTTGTCCGCCTTTAAGTTGAGAAGTATTTAGACCACTGATCTCTATATAAAGACTGGATAGCGGATATCCATACACCATTCACACAGTAGACTTTGCAACTTGAACAATTCGCCCCCGGTCTCACGAAGATGGCCGCGTATAATACGAACGTTCTACACGTATATACAACGCGCGCTGTATCAAGAGTTGACGCCCATTTTGGTCACGTACACGTATTGTGATGTTTTAAAAAGGACACATTTCCGCAGTGATCATTATTTCCAAAACGCAAAAAAAGGAACTGCGGCATTAAAAAAAGGAAACCACCATGTTAGAAAAATTGTAAACCGTGGTCATCAGTGGTGGTGGTCATAATAAAAATCAAGTGAACCGCGATGTTACAAAACTTGTCCTTTGTAGATCACCAGCCGGTGCGGTCTCACCGGTCTCAACAATATGGCGTCAAATTCATTCATTGTGCGGCTCTTTATCCGCTATCCAGTCTTTATATAGAGATCAATGATTTAGACTTACCATGACTATCCAGAGCAGAGCGTATCCCTGGATAGGTTCATTCAGTAGATGGTTTACACACAGGATCAGCGGACCGAGAAGTGTGCTATCAAGAAGCTTCACCTTGGACTTGTACATGTAGGCAGTCTGCAATTACACAGTGTGCATACATATATGCTTATTAAGATGATAGCAGATACCAGGGGACGATGTGGGAGGAAGGGCACTTGCGCTGCCCCTCCCCTTCCAATTTCCCCACAGAAAAGCAAAACAAAAAAATAGGGGGAAACTTTAAAAAATGTGTACAAATTTATGGGAAAGTCTAAAATTCCTGGCGACACCCATAACCAACTGTGCTGTTCCAATTATTTCAAGGGAAAGTACAACATTTGCTTTTGCTGCAATTTTTCGACTTAAATGGATTTGAAGGATAAGTTTGTTATAGAAAATATTGTTAAACTGACTTGTTTCACGTTTTAGGCTTGTAGATGCTGGAAAAACCAAGAAAACCAATCATGTTCTTGTAGTCTGGCTCCCTGACCCCACTTAAGATGAAACGGAGCAATTTTAGACTTTGGAGAATTGTAAGGTCGGAGAATTGTAAGGTCAGAGAATCGGTCTAGCAGGCTTGTACTCCTTCACGGGTGTGTAATTATTTGCAAAGAAAATTCGAAATAACTAAATATGAAAACTTAGAAGCATTTTTTGAAAAAAAGCCAGTTTTCTCCAACGCTGATCGGCCGACCAGTGTTGGAAAAATACAAGTTTTCTTGAAAATGTTAACACATCAAGAGCTACGATTTTACAGGATGCTTTGGACTATCATTCTCTAACAATCCAGTAGGTATTTCGTGATAATTTTGTCATTTCGTTTTTTGCTGTTTGCAAATGTTGTATCTTCCCTTTAAATGGTAGAGTAGCCATACAATTGTGCTTGTTTTCCACCCTTTGATGTAATGATGTACATGTAACCCCTTGATGTGACACACCCACTACTGCTCAGTTTCAAATTTTCCCGATTTTCTTTTCAAAGGGCTAATTTCCCTCACCAAAAGCAACAACATACTTACCATGAACTGGTTGGACATCTTGGCCTCAATCAGTCCAAAGATGATCAGGAAGACACAGGGTTGACGCTCATAAAGATTGGTCATGACCTTGGTGACAATTGTAAGCAGAAAGGCTGTGGCGATATGCAGTGATGGTCCTAACATACTAGTGCCCTGAAACAAAAACAAATTCCGAGATTTTCAAATAAGTCAGCTCACAATAAGTGAGACGTCATCTAGTCAATCAATATCTTTACACAGTTTCCTCATAAAAAGAGGAGTCCTTTGTACAGTAGCATAACCAGGACAATTGAGATGCAAGAACTCGAGTTTGACTCCTATTATCGATGCATTCCATCCATCATTCAATGGCAGTAAAAGGTGATAACATCGTGAGAAGACCCACTCAAACAAACAGAACATGGAGAGTTCAAAGATGTATTTTGGCACAACCGAGTATCACTAGAGCAGGAACCCTAGAATTGTCTAGTCAGATTAATGGCATCAAAGAAGCCTGAGCATCTGTCATTAAGATGATGAGCTCCAAGCAGCATTGCCTCTGATCCACCTTATAATTGGTGGATGGGATAATACTATTTTGCCAAAGGCTGATGACGGTAGTATGGTGGAGGATCATGTTATTTCAGTGGTGAAACGTCATGAGTCCGCACATTTCTGGTGCAAAAAAAAGTTAAAAGTTGTAGAGGTATGTGGGGGCATGTGCAATTCGCAAGACCCGTTGGGAAGAGGTGGAGAGTTCGGTTAGAGTTGTAGTGAAGTGATCCACTGAACGCCATCAGCACCATTTATAGAAATGCCGTAAGTTGACTGAATCCAGCTATGGGCCGTGATGGTGGTAGTACATAAAGTCCAGCATGTCGGATGCAGCGCTCAACAACAGCCAGCACGTCCATTGAGACTTGCCAGGATCAGGGTAAAGCAGGCCTGACCGAGGCTGACAATGAAGGTCTGGCCAATGTTTGAGGAGGAGCCTCCCAGCCTCTCCATGCCTTCCAGATGGACCGCTCCGCGAGATATGGCATGCTCCGGAAACCACAGTTGTCGGGGCCAAAATGTGGTGATCAGGAGGACCCTGTCAATGCGAAGCCATGCATTGTTCTGTACAGCAATGGCTACTTACTACGGAACGAAGTTGCACGCTTACGGCCGGATAAATAGTAGGGAGTGAGCAACTTGCAACGCGTGCGACGCTTTATTATGCATGTGCACTGAGGCGTGATCTACTTGTAGCCTGTGCGAAGCGTCATGCTAGTGGCCGTGTTATAAGTTGTAGGTAGGGAGTGAGCGATCTGCAACCTGTGCAAAGCCTCACTCCTTCGGTACACCGTGAGCTACTTGCAGCTGGTACGAAGCCTCACGTAAATGGCCATAAAGTATGAGCGTGTGGAGTAAGCAACTTGCAGCCTGTGAAAAGCCCCACTCACTTGGAAAGACAATGGTTACTTGTAGCCTGTAAACAGCTGTGTACGGGAGATAGCCACCTGCAGCCTGTACGAAACATCACCCAACTTATAAGGCCATAAGTACCGACAACTGACAAAAATGTCACAAAAAAATAACCAATTTGTAGAATTGCGGGTAACCTCCGCTAGAAACTTCTGAGGGAAAACAGTCAATCAAACTGTAAACTGGCCAGCCCTCTAATCTATCTTAATCCTTTGTCCAAACAGTGGCTTTATAATCCCTAACAAGATAAGAGTGTACCTCTAGAAGTACTGTATTCTTTCGTAGTTTGCAGGCTCTAACTCGGAAAGCTGCTAGACTGAGCACTTACACCTGATACAAAAGAGATGGTACTTTAATAGCAGAATGAAATCATAAACTTATATCAAAGGGATGGCAGGAGAAAGAGGTTACATGATCAGCAAATATGAGCAAACTCAAGAGCTCAAGAAAGCACTCTCTGAGAAAAGAGGAAGTATAATGGCTGGCGGGCCTCAAGGTACTGTGGGAAATAAATCTTAGCGAATGGTAAGCGCTCTCCGGGGAATAATGCATATGTAGTGATGCTTTATGGGTAAGAGGAGCACAGTAGAATAGTGATGGACGACTTTTATTTTTCTGGTAGCCACTTCACAAGGTGTGTTTCAAGAAGGCCTACAACAAAACATTTTTTGTTTGGAACCCAAATGAATTTTCGAAATCACTTACAGCAACTGTGACACGGTGGCCCCGTCCCCAAACAAAGGCAGCTTGGTTGAAAAACTTTAAAATGCTCGACATCGCTGTTGCAATTATTATCAGCTCCCTCCACTCCAACGCAAATGCCTATGGAAGATAAGGAAATTAACAAAAGTCAATATCAAATGAACTTCATTTTCCTTGCTTCATAGACTTATCTGGCTAGCGCTTTTAGAAAATGTGTATGTATGTTTGTGCTCACGTCACGCACATATCACACGCACTCTGTTCATTAAACTTTTAAGAGGATGTGCGTATTACGTCACTGGACCAATTGGACAAGTCAAAGACATGCGTAATGTGCATGCCTTCAGTCCATAATTCAAAAATCAATTGTCAATTTCATGATCACTCATCCTCTTTTGACCGAATTTTTCATGACGTCACAGCGACTGCGTCTTGATTGTTACATCATCATTGAGTGGCAGCGCAGCAAGTGAAAATTACTACGTACACATGTACGTATTCGGTGCGAAGGCATTGATACAATGCAGTTCATTGATGACGTCATAAAATATGTAATGACATCAAGCGTTGCTTACAAGTCATTTCAAAACGTGACATCATATCGTCTACGGGCCATTGGTTGAATGAGCGTTAAGTCTGCGCATGTGATATGTGCGGTAGTGTTAAAGCACCTCATAATTGCCCTCTAATTATGGTTGTTAGATTTGTCAGTAATAGGCAGTTTATATTAGATGCCCAATCAGGCAATCAAGGACTTGTACAAATGTCCATTTGGAGTTTATTAGTATCACCTTTATTCCAATGTCAGAAGTGTATTAGTGACCTCCGGTGATTTTTGGTGTTTTTTTTTATTTTGCTGATTTGTTTTCCAATGAAAACGACAGTACATCATCCATGAACTTTGTGGCCATAAGGTTACGTACCGTACAAACACAAATGTCTGCAATCCAGGTTCATCTACTTCAAAAACAGAAGTCTTTTTTTATCAGCAGATCAGACAAGCTATCTTTTGATGCACAATCACGCAATAGAGGACTCATAGCAAAAATTTGTTAGTATCTTCCTTAATTCCACAGTTGGATTCTGTTGGGATCTGTACAGGTCTGCGGTAACACCTATGTGAAATTTTATCTGTTTTGAGTTCTGTGGCTCTGAGAACCAGTTGTTTTCAATTGACACTTCGAACAGCATTGCGAGTAGCCTCCACTAGAAACTTCTAAAAGAGAAAATAGTCAATCTAACTGTAAACTGGCCAGACCTCTGATCTATCTTTACCTTTGTCCAAACAGTGGCTTTGTAATCCCTAACACTTAGTGTAATAAAGCCACATGCGCTGTCACACAGCTGATATTGACAAGTGCAGGGGATTAGCAGCAGAATCTGATAACAGGGGCCAGTTTGTTGACAAAGGGATTAACAAGATAAGAGTGCACCACTAGAAGTACCGTATTGTTTCCGAGTTTACAGGCCCTATCTCAGAAAGCTGCAAGAAGCACTTACGGATGATGGCGTGCTCTGTTCGTCATCAGTGTCTCTGGACGACGAAAATCGATTTAAAAACAGCTGGTTCTTCTCAGAACCACACAACTCAAAAGAGATAAAACTCACATGGTGTTACCACAAACCGTCCATACTTTGTTCACGTCCATCATGCAAACCTACAAGTCTCATGTATAGGACCAGTGGCATAAAACTTTTTATGGCATTAAACTGTTTACCCCAGCGATCTAATACAGATGCCAACAGCGGTTTAAAAGCACAAACAATTTTTAGCAAGCTGAACGATGATATTTGTTCATTTTGGGCTGATAATTGTTATGAAACCTTTTTGGCCCAGATATCTGGGCCCATGACGGCTGTAGCCAGATAGCCAAAGCACAGAGCTTGCTGAGCTTCAAGTACATCAAACCTGTCAGAAACGAAACCAAATGAACCAAATACAATTCTGTAATTCTGTAATAAATATGTAATTCTGTCGGTTTATGGGGGAGAACAAGGATTCCTCAAAAGTGTAGGGATACTGTAGCTCGGAAGCTTGAGGTTATCTGAACAAAGAAGACAATGAAGAATTATTTTTAGAGGTGGGAGGAAAACCCCGGACTGACAATGTTGTGCTGGTGAGCGGGAGTCATTTCGCAATGCCGATTGATAATCTGGTTGGTAAAAATCACTGCAAAGTCTTCATAAAAGATGTTAGAGTAACTTTTCCCTGTGTGGCACCACAAGGTTGTCTTCGCTTTGTCTCTCCATCCAGATTTAATTAATAATAATAATAATAATAATAATAGTGGATATTTATAAAGCGCACGTATCCACCAGGACTGGTGCTCAAGGCGCTACATCATTATTACCCTGCTCATAGGGCCAATGAAACATTCCAAAGACAATCTCAGCTCCATGGGGAGTATACACTGCTCGATGCTGCCATTTCGGCACAAAAAGCAACTAAAAATCAGTCACACTTTTATTGTGAGGGTAGAGATGGTGCTTCAAAGGTACCCATTTACTCCTGGGTGGGAAAAAGCAATGAGTGACAAAGTGCCTTGCCCAAGGGCACAAGCACCATAACCCCAGGCTGGACTCGAACCCACAACCTGCAGAATTACCCGCAGATCACAAGTTCAATGCTCCAGACCACGAGGCTACGGCACTCTATAAATACATCGCTCTACACACGACTGTACATGTATGTCATAATAACTTTTTACGGGAAAACGCCTTGTAGAACCTTTCAGAAACAAAAATCGGAGATAAACAAGTGAAAAACCAAACAGCAGGCCCACACCGTTTTTGCGCACGCGCTTGGAGCGCTGAGCACGTGTGAATATAGCTCCAGTCACCTGAACGCAATTTACTTGGGGCTTAAAGGGCTCATGAAGTGAATATTCCTTAGGGACATAGTTTGTGCTACTTTCTAATTCTTTTTAAGCGTATGAAAACTAAGTGATATTACTTTTTGGTTAATTTTGTTGAAAAGTGCATTTCTTTAAACGTTTAAAATTTTCCAAGCTTTTCCGGAAAACTGAGAGCAATGTTGTCGTGATGTCATTTCAGGGAGACACTGTTCATATTAGGTGTGTTTCTATTGAAAAAGTGAACCCAAAATAATGCTCATTCAAAACATTTGTGAGAAAAGTTTGCTCATTAGCTTTCTGCCATGAACAGACACAACAATGAATCACTAATAAAAGAAAGTATTCAGCAAAATATTCAAAATTTTGGCAACTTTTCGTGCATAAACTAATTGCAACATTGAGGTTTCTGCCTGACATGACATCGCACTTTTGCTCATGAATATGGAAATTCGCATTAGCATAAGAACGAAAATGGCGCCAAAATACCCTTGAAACATGGTAAAATGAAAATTGAAAATAAGATTAAAGGGATACAAAGGTGCATTTTCTGGGATTGCATTAAACAAAATTACATTTCATGGGCCCTTTAAGTGTTGACGAACCGAAATGCCACTGAGTATACAGTGTTTATGAAATATGTCGGTGAAGACCTTCACCGGGCAAAATCGTATATTGATTCGTTTGGGATGGTAACTGGGAAACTTACGTGGTAAATCGCACCAATCCAGAGATGTAGGTCTGCCAGTGTGCCGTGAAAAACATGAACATTGCCGTCAGCATAAACGGTACAAAGAGTTCTGGCCGACCGCCTATCTTCATGCAGATACCAAATTCAATGGTGACACACACTGCAAATAAAAAAGTACATACTTTCGTTTCGTTATACTCCCGAGGACAATGCTTTGTGTTTTCCTTTGTCCCTGTAATTTAACACTCTCCCATAGACTGAGCACACAAACTTACTACAGAGGACCGTTTTGAACAAAAGACCCAACTCCCAAGGACTGAAATTATCTGTTGTTCTCCCTTTGTGTGTCTGTCCTCGGGGTAATGTAGAACAAGTACCCGATAGCTGGTATGGGCTCTGTGCACAAGTACCCCTTCGTCAACTGTCAGACAGGGAGAGCTAGGGGAGACCTAGACTGGTTTCCTGGTCCATCCACTGCGTATTTTGAATGATCCAAAGTTATTGGGGGCGGGGATTAGTATGGAAGACCGTCGCAAGTTAAAACTTCAGAGAGAAGGGTGGGGTGGATAGGGTATCACAGTCAACACATAACAGACCAAAAGCCAGAAACAGAGAATCAAGACTTGCAAGATTGAGTGCAGTCACTGATCCAGGGGGTGCAGAGAGGGTGCTCGCCAACCCAGCAATGACCGAAAAAAGTTGTTTTTTATACTTGAGAGAGCACTTTTGCCTGCGGCGCACCCCCCCCCCCTCCCCCACGGATCTGCCGTTGGAGTGATGACAGAAATATGCAGGGCACTTAAGGAAACAGCCCTTTATAATTACCTTTGGTGATCGAGTCGCAAGCATGGTCGAATAGTTCAGCAAGCTGCAGATGCCAATTCAGCTTTGTCTTGTACCTCAAACACTGCCGCCCGTCCACAGAGTCGCAGGTTTGGAAGAGAAAGATGTTCACGCCAGCCAGTGAGTACGCCCAGCGTGGAGCCTGCAGTGGCGGAAAAAAAGCAATAAAATGGATGAAGGGCAATAAAAACTGTCAGCAGACTTCTGCATGCTATTTGATCTTCATTCAGTGAGAAGCCAGGTCAGTTTGACAAAGGCAGCGCTTAAAGCTATAGTCCATCATTTGTAATTTGTGCATTTTGTTCGTTTGAAGCAACAAAAGTGCTCAAAATCTAAAGAAAGGGTACATGTACTGAACAACTAACCTGATGAAGTTTCAGCTCAGCTTCAGCTGTATATTCCGAGAAAAACAGCATTCTAGGATCTCAATTTCAAATCAAAAGTTGCTGAATCATGTTTTGAATTGGGCCTGAATTCAGCGTCCGAGACACGTTCTCACTGAGCCGATTGCAGCTACGCGATGTCGCGCGCTGATCCGACGAATAATAGCAACCATGGGGTGCGTGTGCATCGTGCCAATGCTTGCACGCACTTTGCCGAATAACAAAACGAACTACTAATTTAAATTTTCCTACAGTGCGTCTTAAGAAGCACCGTTGGAAAGGCCTTCTTTCGTTGATGACTTCGAAATGACAGCTTGCCAGAAAGAATAATTTCACAGGGAGTTTATAGTCCCCCTACTATCTTTCAACCAAGTATGTTTTTCAACAATAGTTATGCCAGTTACTTTTCGGATAGCTGCAAATGATGGACTATAGCTTTAATCATAGCTCATAGCTTGGTCTAGCTATAGCGCGACATGTGCCACAAGTACGAAGGGTCATGCATGGATGCGTCCATTGTACCTCAGAGGAATTATAACCAATTGTGGCGCAAAATGGCGCATGTTTATATTACAAATGTTTGAACTTTATAAAGTATTTTGACACTCACTGCTTTTCCTGTACAATATTATTAATACATTGGTTAGAGATGTACAGAAACGTAAAAAAAAACTCTGTTTAATGGGTTTATCCCTGTTGAAAACAACAATAAATTGAAAGACTGTATTTTGGATCCCTTTCGTGTATGGTACGATCCTACTTAAATTACCACAAATGTTCTCTGGAAAGAGAGGAGTGCTGTGATTGGATTGGGAAAAAGCCCTCCTTCGCCCTCCTCTAATTAAAAATATTCTTATATTGTTGGAAAGAGCATTTCGTACAGTTATTCTGCCCTGCGATATGGCTTGGTGCGATAAACAAGAAGCCGATTTAGTGACCGAACCCCCCATTGCATTTACAAAAAATATATTGCCTTGGCCCTTTACATTGAAGGACATTAGAATTACCTCTTCAGTTGCAGTCGGAGCATAGTACATGAGTACCACTGTGCTGATGATGTTAAGAATCACACCAAAGACTGATATAACGTTAGCATTGATGGTCCTTGGAACCAAGTCGGCCACGGGCCACCACCAATATGGTTCCATAAAGGGCTCCACAAACGTGCGGCCAGTGCGAGTGTACTCATGACGATTGAGGTGATTAATTTGCTCCTCTGTACGGATCTCGTCGGAAAACATCGTCAGGTTTTTTTTTTTAAACAACCAGAGAGACAAAAATGTGTCGTTGCCGCAAGGCGGAAATCTGCAAAAACAAACAAATTTTGGGCAAATGAGTTCGTGTAAATCCGAATCTGGACATTAAGTGTGTTAAAAGTCAGAATGACCTTGTTTGAAATGATGGCAAGTGATTGAATTTACCAGTGTTAATGTATTAAACCACTGCTATGATGTCACACTGACCATTGTTAAAAGTGTGAATTCGGATTTACGAATCTTTAGTAAAGTGTGGATTCGGAATTACGATCCACACTTTGAACATGTCCGACAATAATTATTGTTCTCCATAATCATGATAATGAGCATTAATAAGACCGTCTGCGTGAAAACTTTCCTTCCGAAAATTACCAATTTGCATACTGTCAGATTCTCCGCCGTCAATGCGAAAACATTTTCGAGTCAGAAAGAAATCGTCGTCTGAACTATCCATGTTGATAGAAGGAGCCTACACACAAAATTACTTGGTTGTACGGGTGTGGCGATGTATGCTGAACACGCCACAATGCTTGATTACGAATAAGAACCTCGAAAAACTCCCTTGTAAATTGCCCAATGGCCAAGACTCGACACGCGATGTGCAAGTCTTTTCATCTCCTCTTACTGGACTGTTAATGACAATACTTCTTTTGACGCAATGGTTTAAGTCAAAGAATACACGAGAAAGTATGGATTCTTAATTTACAAATTCACTTGGGGCTTTGCGCCTCGTGAATTCTTAAATTACGAATCCACACTTTCTCGTGTGTTCTCCTTAACGTATTTTGTACAATTGCCATTTTGCAAAATGCTGGTTGCGGTCAAACATAATCCTTGTGATTTTTAATTCAGGAGGCGGCATTCCAGGGTTGGCTTTTTTTAACTTGTAAGTTGTATTTAAAAAAATCGGATTTGATTTAAATCAGATTTTTTTTTATTTAGATCAGATTTTTTTTATATTTTACTTACAAAATATCTGTCTAAAAAAGTGTCTAAAATTTCCAATGCAATTCTTACAACCATCATTAAGGAGTTTAAAGGTTCCTATTCCACAAAATCATCCACAAAACTCAATAAATTGATAAATGCTTTTGAATAAATTGTATTGAATCGGTGATAAAAAACAAATCACTTTATTTCATCTAAATGTACATGTAGGGTTCAAAATGGTACATTATTAATACTGAAGACACTTTAAAGATGCATGGCTTGATTGATACAGCTGAGATATGTTGTGTGAGGATACATACATGAGTGAAAACTCCAGCCCTGACCAGTTGGCGCAAGTCAGATTTCACCCGACCCCTTTAATTGTCTCCTGTGCAGTCATGCATGAAAACTAATCCAGTGAAAATGTCACCAAAAGAAGTAGGAAGGGTTACTCTAAAAGTACATATGAAAATATCTTATTATATTGCTGCAGAATAAAACTATGGCCAAAAGTGTACAGTTGGTTTCTTTTTACTCACACTGTATATGCAAGTGTAACTCATAGTTTACAAACAAGTATTAAAAGTGCAAAAAAAGCATTACTTTACTGGTATGTAAATCATAAAAAGAATTTTGGGCAGCAATTTTATGGTTTACAACTAATTGTTATACATGAAAACCATGCCAAAAAAACATGTCAAAAATGCGCTAAACAATTAATTGACAAACGACCTCCCATACATATCAACCCCAAACCAATTTCACACACAACCACTGCCGAACAAAAATGGAGATAACACTTTGAATATACTTGGAATACTCTGCTTTAAAAGACTTGTGTCTGGTTGGTTTCTGACTAAAGCTTGCAAGTCGTTCTATAGTTTATCACCTCTACAACAAAACATTTCATGCCCCTTTATGATGAGAGTAGTGTCACTGTTATGTTAGTCAGCTAGATTTTCCATTAGCCACCGTTTTAGAATGATAGAAGGCACCACACGTACGGTGCTTTGTAAGGCAAATTATTTTGTGTACGATCATGGAGGCGTCTGCGTGTAGTCAAGGGTTAAAGGTAGAAATTGACAGTTTTTGGTGTTTTTTTTTCCTCATTTTTCCCATAAAAAAAATTAGGGAAGGGGCTGTCAGTATAGGGTAGGAAGAGAAACCAGGAGCAAAACTAGCTTGAGTAACTCCAGCTGTCACGCTCCATATTCATTCACATGTGAATGAATATGGAGCATGTCAGCTGGAGTTACTCAAGCTAAGGCCAAAAAAAAAAAGTCTCCAGTTTCTGGTATGCGCGCGCGTCGCCGTAGCCATGCGCGTCGGCAAAATGAAAAAGTTTTTTTTCAATGAAAGATGATGTCTCAAAACCGCCAAACTCACTGGTTTGACTGGAATTCTGCTGCTGCACAATTTTAACGTGTTTTTTTTAGATGGGATTATGATCGAGAATAAGCTTAATGTAGCCTCTCTGAACTCCCATATATTTGCACTAAGTTTAGTCGGGCACCATTTGCAGTCATCAGTCGACATTTGAAGCAAAAAAGTCAGGTAAAAAAAAAAAAGCCGCGTCGCCGCACCACTTTTTGGACAAGCTCCACACCAGAAACCAGAGACTTCTACACAACCGCCGAAGTAGCGACAGGTTGCAACATTCTTTCCCTAGTAAATATGCGGATGATTTATGCGTTCAATTACCGATTAATTTAAAACCCTGAACGTCTCAATTTTCTTCATGTAGGCCTACGTACTCACCTTTACAGAATTAGCCCGAAAAAGCGTATTATCTGCTCAATATCTTGTCTCCCACTGCGCTGAATATCGTGAATACAGAGCTCAATTAGACCCCAGTACAATTCACCAACACAAACTATAATGGCGACCGTGTCTGTATGTTTGCACTGCATGCACTGTACATCTGTGGTGATTATGTAATAAACCAGTCATGAATGTCGGGCTGGCCGGGGGCTCCCGTGCGTGGGCCAGCCACGAGGCAGTCTTGTGAGTAACCTCTTATTGGGTCCTTGTGCTGTACTGCTGAGCTACCCACCCAAGACTCAACCTATTCCCGCCGTGCCCCCAGCGCTGAGGTCATTATAGGTACCAATACTACATTGGCGACGAGGATAATTCTTTGCGTGCGTCGCAATTACATAAGGATAAACTAAGAGAAATTTTGCGTTCTTTTTGTGATGTCTTGGATATTCCAGACTAAAAAAAAAAAAAAAAAAGGAAAAGAGAGAGAAGTTATACACTATAAAAGTCAGTCAAATTCCTGATTCAGATAGTTTAATGTCCTTTATTTTTGTCTGCATATGTCAAAGAGGTCTCGGTCTTTGAAGAAATAATTCGTAAACGTTTATGAATTAACCCCGCATGCTGACATCATTCGGCGTTTGTTGGAATTTGCTAGCATGTTTGGCTGATTCGATAGACGTTTGCTTCCAAACGTTTTATTACCAATCTTGTTTATTATTTGCTTATATAATGTTTTTACTGGAAGTTGCTGTATCGCTATGTAACTAAAAAAAAAATTAAAAATAGGAAAGAAAGAAATTGACAGGACGGACGTTTTGCCATACTTTTTATGATTATATTTGCTGTAAATCAGGTCAAACTGCTGTGTGTCACTCACAGCAGAAGGCAGTTACAGCAAATTTTGAGTGACAGGTCGATTGAATAGACCATAGAACAGCAGCTTCCACTTTCCGTAAATTGTAAGTGTAATTGATTTAACTTGGTAGTTTAAACATGGCCATGGAAATTAACAAAGCAAGTGTAAAAAAAAACAACCCTTCCAGGGATAGGGATCAAATATGCCCAAGTCATAGTCGCGAAACGGGAACAGAAGGGGTCAGTAAATATCAGAGATGGCAGCAAGTCATTTTTTACAAGTCCAAGTCAAGTCACAAGTCACTGTTTGCAAGTCCAAGTCAAGTCACAAGTCACCAGGTCCAGTCACAAGTCAAGTCACAAGTCATTTTGTCTTAAAACAAGTCAAGTCACAAGTATCTTTGTCCAAGAACACGTCAAGTTGCACATTATTTTGTCCAGCTGTAATAATTTAAAAGAACCTGGCGTTTAGACTTACAAGTTATTTTTAACATGCCTCCTTAATTCCACTTTTTCAATGTGTTGCAATTACTAGTCTTGTAGTTTATCGCATATCTGTCGGATATATTAGCCCTTTGTATACTTTAATAAATTTACTTTACATTGTAGAAATAAATGTTGAGATGACATGAAAAAAAGACTTCACTCACTCGATTACATGTAGTATACTAAAACTTTGTTGTTCAATTTCATGTATACTAAACGCCTACCAATGGGTTAGGCTATCCGGTATTTTACATGCAATTGACAAAGGCCTGCTTTCTTTTCATGAAAGGTTCCTTTCAAAGTTTGTTCAACCATTACATTTAGCAAGAGACTTGGTCATTGAAAACTGTAGTTTGTTGTGACAGTCTTATTGAAAAATTTTGAAACAAGTGGGAACTATTCATTTTACTGGATTCAGTCATTGAGATCTATTTTCTGGAATGAAACTTTCTCGCTATAATAGCTTAATTAAAGTGTATTGGGTCGCTCGAGTAGCGTCTGACTTGGGTTGGTAACAAGTCATTTTTTGCAATCCCAAGTCAGGTCACAAGTCATTGTTTGCAAGTCCAAGTCAAGTCACAAGTCAAAGCTGGTATTAACAAGTCAAGTCACAAGTCACAAAAATAGCGACTCGAGTCCAAGTCACATGACTCGAGTCAGCAACTCTGGTAAATATGAATGATATCGGTGAAACACCTACACTCCAAACAAAACTGCATGAACTTAAAGAAAAGGGATTGATAATAATTGAAGATGCCCTAGAAACCTCCCCGTTAGGCCAAGAGAAGCAAGGTGAAATAGACGTTCAAAAGCCTGACCCGGTAAACCTACTGGCAAACCAAATAAACATCCTTGTACAAGTAATGCAAGAAAACACCCAAAAAGTAACCCAGGCTATTCATGAATTAGGTGGCCGAATGGAAAGCAAAACAGATGGACTCGAAACAAAAATAAATGAACTCATCCAGTTTACACCAGCCCCGAGTCAAGAAAACCCGAACGCGCATTCCATGGCGCCGTCCACTTTCCAGGGTAATTCACATTCACAAACGGCAATGAAGGGTGCGGAATTACAAGCCACAGCCCCTAAGTCCTCCGATTGAATTAACGGTGATAAAGTAATTGATGCAAATCTAAAGATCATTCACGACAAAGCTCCCCCACTCCCATTGCATTTGTTGAACGCAGCGCCGGGCTAAGGCATGTCATTCAAAAGCGAACAATGGGATACGGGATACCATGGGGCAACGACTGCACCTCCTCAACAAAAGCCATTACGTAACAATGCAGATCTGAATAAAACTAACTCACTAATCAAGAAATCGGTGACAATAGCATACAATCCTGCAACAACACAAGCCATGCACACACCGTCTTTGCCCGGGTCTGATAGCCAAATTCCATTAGTAAATCCGGCGTTTGCTGGATATAATCAGCCAACTCACCAACCCGATGCTCCGGGTTTATCGCATCATGGTATACAACGAACTTCTAACCAAAATGTTCCCAAGTTAACTGCCTACGATGGTAAAACTGATTTTCATTCCTTTGCGATTAAATTTGAGGCTATAGCAGAGTGCTGCCAATGGAGCCAGCGCACCAAATTAATGCAGTTAGTAGGTACACTCACGGGTAAAGCTCTTGACTGCTACGCGTGGCAAGAGCCAGAGATTAGGCAGGATTACGCAAAAATCAAAAGTCAGTTGATGAAAATGTTCGGAAAAAGAAAGATCCAATAATTCAAAGGGCCGAACTTGCTGCCATACGTCAGAGAGATGATGAAACCGTAGAAGAATTTGGACAGCGCGTACGTGAAGTAGCTACACGCGCGTTTCCAACTGCACACACAGACGTGTTCGAAACCATTGCTAGAGAGGCATTTTTGAAGGGATGCGCTGATGTGAACGCAGCTGAACTTGCACTTTTCCGAGATCCCCAAACATTAAACCAGGCAATACAATTCACCGAAAACGCAGCGCATAACCACAAGCTACTATCCAGAACATACAAACCAAAAATCCGGCATGTTGCATTTAGTGATGAAGTCTCCATGAACCCCCAACAAAGTTAAACAAACGGGCAAAGACAACATCGATATCCATCTTGATTGGTCGGGAATCGACAAAAACATGCGAGAAATATTGACATATCTGAAAACTCTCAAAGGTGAACCACCATCCTCTATCAACACCCTCAGCCCTCCACCTGGTAAAGCAAGTACAAAAAGGAGTGAGTCACCTGCCCGGGAAAACTCTTTCCTTAGACTCTCGCCAAGTCGTAACTCCAGCCCTCCGCCGCCATTTTCGCCATCAAAATTTCGGTGTTTTAACTGTAACAAAGAAGGGCATTTTGCCAAAGATTGTCCGCAGGGTAGGGTTAGATCTCGATCGCGTTCCCCTTCGCCATCTCGTAATACGAGTGCTTTAAACAATTCGGAGCCGGCCGTGATGGCCAACGACCGGCTGAGTTGGAGCAGAACGGCCAACAATCGCAAACTAAAATTCGGCGTTTGCTGGAACAGGTTTGGGTGAAGGAAATGATAACCCATTGTAGCTAAGGGAAATACAATTCTCACCAAATAATAACGGGGTAAGCCTTGTAATACCGATCGGAGGGGTTTATACCCAGGCTGTGGTTGACACAGCCGTCCAGGTTACGATAATAAGCGAAAACTTAGCCAAGCGATTGGACCCCCCATTAGAAACAAAAGAAAGGGTTCTACTTAGAGGGGCAGAACAATCTAGCAACATGGTCGCGGAAAGGGCCTTTGGGGTACCTTTAGTTATAGGAAAACACAGCTACTCTTGGAGTCTATTAGTTGCCCCAATTGCAGACACCTTTATTCTAGGGTTGGACTTTTTAAAAGCCCAAGACGGCCGGATAGACCTCAGAGATGATAGCGTAACACTTAAAGATGACAAAATAAATGCCGAAATGAGAAAGAACAAGGACGAAAAATACTCCGTGCAAAGAGTGGTGTTAAAAAGAAAGGTCGTGGTTCCTCCAAGTACCATAGTCAAAGCAAAGGTGCTGTTTGAATCACCATCGGACAAATCATTCCTAATTCACGCACCACAAAGAAATCATAAAGGGCTACTTATACCGTACACTCTAGTTACTTTGGGACAGGATAGCACATGTAATGTCATACAATCACAATCCAGGGAGGCTCATACTAGTCTACGTAATGACAGTGATAGATATGTCCATTTGAAAAAGGGACATATAATTGGTAGGGCAGAAGAGGTTAGTGAGATACTTCCGGAAATTGATGTATGTTATCCTTCAGCAGACACGGGGAAAATCCGGCGTTTGCTGGACCTCCCCGAAAATGACATATCCGTGAGAAAGGTTAGCGAGTGTGACATACCCATACATGTCCGCGAACTATGGGAACGTTCCTGTAAATTTCTAACCCCCAAACAATCGGACGTAATCGCCGACACACTTATACAATATTCGGATGTATTTTCTAGAGATGATACAGATCTAGGCAGATTCTCTGCGATTAAACACCCTATTAATACAGGAAATGCAGTCCCCATCAGACAAAAAAATGCGCAGAACCCCCCTTGGTTTTGAGGGAGAGGAGAAAACTCACCTAGATGACTTGCTTACAGCAGGTGTCATACAACCGTCAGCGTCTGCATGGGCTTCCCCTCCAGTGCTAGTTCGGAAAAAAGACGGAAAAGTTCGCTACTGTATTGACTACAGGGCTGTAAATAACGTTACCATTAAGGACGCATTCCCTTTGCCTAATATTGAAGAGTGTTTAGACGTCTTGGAAGGAACAGAGTTCTTTTGCACACTGGATATGAGCAGTGGGTACTATCAAATAGAAGTTGAAGATGAAGACAAACAAAAAACTGCTTTTATCACCAAGTATGGGCTTTTCGAGTACGCGCGCATGCCATTTGGGCTGTGCAATGCGCCTGCCACCTTCCAACGTGCAATGACCCTAATACTTAGAGGCGCAGTGTTTTTCCGGACCGAACCCGTTACGAACAAAACTAAGGACGACAAGGAAGGACATGAAACAAATTAAAGGGGTATCATTGGGTCCCCTACAGTACAAAAAAGTCACGTGACTAAAACGGAGGGAATTCCTCCTTTTTCCGAAACTGTCCGAAGTTTGCCGAATTCATTTCGTCGACAATCGGATAGCGCCCGAGTATTTCCTAGTATTATATAGGTTTTGTTACCACTGCTAATTGCTTATTAAAAAATTAAAAAACGAGTTGATAATTAATATTCATTGCTTTTATTTAGAAAAGTTGAAACTCAACGACGATTTTGTACTCTGATCGTATACGAGGGGCGAATTTTTTGCTGCGTCTGAATTTGACGACCGTTACTGGCATTTTCCAAAAAATCGGCGTGGTCTTCACTCGGCTCCGCCTGCTAACAGTACTATTTGGATGCCTAACTTTGAAGATTCCAGGTCAACATTAGTCAATGTTTTCTTACAGAAATATCAAACTGTATTATCATCATGAAGCGAGTGATTTCTATCAAAAAATTATCGGAACATTAAAAGCTATAAGTGCTAAAGCGAATTAAGAAACGAAGCCGAGTTTCAAAAAAGGGCCGTCAATGTCGTCGTGTTTATTTTTGGCCTTGGAGGCTGCCTGGCCTACAATTTAGACGTGAGCGTCGGGAATAATTGTCAGGTCTTGGAACCAGACTACGGGTGTAGGGGAAGTATACGTCTACTCTAGAGGGCGCTAGTACTTCAATCATTCAATCCCACCAGCAACCACCACTTATGCCTCACTGACCTCATAATTATTACTCCTAATCCAACATTAAAATCACGTTCACATTTCCTCAGCCTGCCACTCCTTTACTTACCGACTCCACCACCAAACGCCTCCAACTTGTTTCCTATTTTTGCCCATTGACGCGACATCTCAGCAAAACCCGCCAACCTCTTCAGTAGATACATGAACACTCGTTGATTACAACTTGTACACTAAACAGCGCCACACTATTTAATTTTACTGCAACACCATAACATCGTCCGCTGCGCTGCATTCATATCCCCAATTCGAAAAGCCGCAATGCGCATTCTAGGAAAGACCCACACAATGCACGCTTGCATACATAATTAATGCGCAGGCTAAGTCCAGTGTAGTGCAACCTCTGTCCAATGGTGTGGAGCAGTACGCTCCCACTACCTGCTCTTTCACCTTGGTATCGGATATTCAAAATCAAGTAGGCTCTAGAGATTATATTATTACAAGCAAAAAGCAACTTTCTGAGGAGGATCAGACGTACTTAACAATGAACGGTAAAACACGTCACACACGTTTACAATGAAATGACCAAATACACGATAAAAATTCATATAAATTCACTTGCCTTTTCGGTATCAAATCAGGATGCAGGGAAGAAAGTTTACCACCTGAGGTTATTATCGGAAAAGAGGTTGAACTTAAGTTAGCCCATTTAATTCAAATGAAATACCGATTCATTGGTTTCGCTGCGCATGCCCATCGTAGGACAGCGGCAGGACACGTGTACGTGTAAATGGTCAGTCAATATGAGGGCAAATGTAAAGATTACATATTCAGATGACACCGGCAAGTTGACCATAAAAAAAATGGCGGGGGACGGGACCTAAAGACCTTATACAGAGGCGTCATTTTATGGGGGGGGGGGGTTACAATTTCATGAAAAGGGCGCTCGCGCATCCGTGCTGAAAATGTAGACAGTTTTTTTCCCCGGACACTTGGCCTCCGGGGGGAGGGGGGGGGGGGGGGGATGTCCTGGTACCATCTTCCAATGGGGGCGCTGTTCAAACTTGACGATCATGCGCACTATCGGAGAAAAGATGGCGCTCTTCAGCTTACTCCATCCTTGGTAGTTTTACTACACCCAGCAGCCACACACCTTGTCGGCATGGCCGAAAATCGGGTGTTATTTCTCCTCGATTCCGAACGAAACACCAGAAAAACTTTCAGTGCCGCAATGTATATGCATATGTACATGTACATGTATTATGATGCACGCCGCAATGCCGGTGCCCCCGCAGCGCGGCAAGTCGCTGCCTTAACTTGCGTCATACCCCTCGCGAAGTTTTATGTTAATGAAGCTTCCCTTTGTGGGGCGGAGTAGTTTGACCAAACATGTTCACAAATTATTTTCCCCCATTTATCCCAGAAAATAAACACCGCCATACACAAGATATTGTTGAGAACATCATCCTTTATTGATTTAAGCAAAAAAAATGCAATCAAAATTTTATTTCATGTTCCCTTTAAGATTAGGCAAACCAAGTGAAATGCTACCATCCTGGCGTGCAAGAGTATAACGAGGCGCAAGATAAATTTATAATTAGCTGCTATCAAAGGGTAAAGTGTTTAATTTAAACTCCGTGAAGTCTGGACTCATTAGTTGGACTGCACATGCCTATAATAGGACAGTGACAGGACACGTCACGTGTGTAAAGGTTCTGTCCGTATAAGGTTCCATAAGAGTGTATACATTTCAGATAACACCGGCATGTTTACTAGGACAAATGGCAAAAGACGGGGTACCTCAGGGCCTTACGGAGGCGTAGCAAAGTCATTTTTGTTGGGGGGGGGGTTAACAATTTCGAGGGCTCACATCCGTGCTGAAATGCAGACACTTGGCCTCCGCAAAAGAAAAAGGGGGGGGAGGGGGGGGGGCTGGTACCATTTTCAATGGGGGCGATGTTCCAACCGGACGAGCATGCACACTATCAGACAATAGGTGGCACTCTTCAGAGTAGCATAATAAACGACCGTCTTGCGAAATTCGAAAAACGGCATTTATTTAGTAAAAGGTCGCTGGTATCAAAAGGCAACAGGCAACTTTTTTTTTTAAAGGACACTTGTTTAAAACAAAAGGGCACTTGTTTAAAAAGGGGAGGGCGGGGATCATAACAGGCAGATAACAAAGGGTCTATTGGAAGGACACGAATTCATAAAGACTTATCAGATACACACGTAATTGTCGTCACAAGTACTGACAAAGTTTTAATTTGCAACCAATCACCCCCCAAAAAATTCCCTACTTACCTACACTATTTTCCAATGGCATGTAATCCGAAGCAGAACTCTTTTTTTGGCCTCACCCCCTATAGGCCATAGAGACTTGTAAACCTGACACAGGGCCAGAGGCAGGGGTGATGCATAGTTACAGGTGTGTAGAAGCCCCTAAATTCCTAGCGCATTACATACAACGTGACAACTCCAAGCATTGTTACAAACAATTTTGTCGAGTATTTAATGTATTTGTTTGCTTTTTTTTGGGGGGGGGGGCAATTACAATTTGGTACTTACAGTTTTATGAGCGAGTTAGGTTTTTTTTTGGGGGGGGGGGGGGGGGGGACCGACAGGCGGGCTAAAAAAAAGCGATTTAAAAAGTTCGAAACGTCAGACCGCTTAATTTTTTGTTGTTGGTTTTTTGTTTGTTTTTAGATTTGTTAAAATGATTAGGGCAACAACGAAACATTTAAACACTAAACTAAGACGTTAAATACAGGATAAACCATGTAAAATGTACTACACCCTCTTTTTAATACCCATGTGGTAACAAAGTATGCAAATTCAAACCTGCCTACATAGGACAATTCCACCACAGAGACGACCTAAACAATTAGATCGACACGTTAAAGTAAACACACTTTTCTTCTTAAAACCTACAAAACTAAAATGTAAATGACAAATACAAGGCACGCATATTAGAGTTTGATCAATTTGTTACTTTAGCTATGTTAAAACGAATTTTTTTTAGATTTGTTAAAATGATTAGGGCAACAACAAAACATTTAAAATACTGAACTAAGACGTTAAATACAGGATAAACCATTTAAAATGTACTACACCCTCTTTTTAATACCCATTGTGGTAACAAAGTATGCAAATTCAAAACTGCCTACATAGGACAATTCCACCACAAAGACGTCCTAAACAATTAGATCGACACGCTAAAGTAAACACACTTTTCTTCTTTAAACTTACAAAACCAAAATGTAAATGACAAATACAAGGCACGCATATCAGAGTTTGATCAATTTGTTACTTTAGCTATGTTAAAACGAATTTACACCATGCACTTACCACTACTATAAAATCGTGACTACTTGAGCATTTGATTTTCGAAAATTTGAGTTAAACCAAACATTCACACTTGCAATCTGAAAACAGATTATTCTCACATTCTACAATATACAAAATTTACATTCAGCAGCCATATCGGAGGGTATTTTTCTTTGTTACTTTAATAATGCAAAACAGGTCTAATTGTGGGCCCTCACTTTTGGACGCAGGGGCGGATCCAGGACTTTCAAAAAGGGGGGGCACAAAAACTTTGTGCGCGTTGCACATATAACGAGACTGAAGCGCGAATTTAAATCCCTTGCAGGCAGGGTTGAGGGCACTGGAAGCTCTACGATTTTAGATGTTCTCTCCTACATCATGAGTATTTTAAGCCATTAAGATCAAAATTCACAATGTTTATTTTTTAATTTTAATAATACTTTTTTTTCTATCAAATATAGAATTTAAAGTCACTTTTGATGTTAGCTGAAAAGGAACCCCAAAATTAGAAGGTGCTGATGACAGCCCCCGGGTGGAAAAAAAAAATGAAATGTGTTATTTTGCGAGCGAGCGGAGCGAGCGAGCCAAAAAAAGTCATGTTTACTATTAAAACATACATTTCTACCCAGAAATTTGCCTTGCAAACAAAGAAAATAAAATAAATTGAATTTCGTTAGGGGACAGCCTGCCCCAAGCAAGGGCGGATCCAGAACACAATTTTTTTTGGGGGGGGGGGGCCAAAAACAAATTTGGTCATCCCAAAAAGTGGGTCAAAAAAATTACGGCGTGGGGTTCGGGGCCCGCTTAAGGGCCCCTAAAACTTTTTGGATTCTAGATGCAGAGTCTGTGGTGCGATCTGAGGCAATTTCTGACCACTTTAACCAATTTTTTTTGGGAGGAAAAGATGGTGGTGTACTCATTGCCTGCCTTTTTTGCAATGTCATATAAAAACAAAAAAATTGCTTTCGTTTTTTTTGGGGGGGGCATGGCCCCCTTTGCCCCCCCCCCCCCGATCCGCCCTTGGCCCCAAGCAGCCCCTACCCCCACCTCACCCCATTTTGGTTGATGTTATTGTCGTTTCATTTTTTTGGGGTTTTTTTTTTGCTTCCATCATCATTAATAATATCCTTTTCGTTTTGCCCCTCTCCTGGTATTTTCTTTCTTTTACCATGTAATGTAATTGGTGATTTTAGTTCAATTCGTATTTTCTCCATTATCATCCCGTTTGTGTGTGTGTGTGGGTGTGTGGGTTTGTTTATGGTGTAAATCGAGCTCGCGCGGATGTGATTGGCTTCAATTTTGAGTCCCAGTATAATGTGTGGTAACTGCGGTCATATATACTTAATTTGTATATACACTTGCATACACTTTAACCACCATTTTTTCCATGTTCTTTTGAAGTCTGCAGGCTAAATAATCTAAGACGAAATGAATCGTCTGCATTCTGCAAGTGTTGTCGAATCACTTCAAGAAATGTCAAGGCCTGAGGAAAATCGTTTATTTGTATTTTTTTTGGGGGGGGGGCTCCGATTTTCTTAAAAAGAAAACAAAAAAAACCAGCTTTTATTTAACGGAAATGCAAACTGCATCCAAATTCCAATTTCCAAAATATAAAAAACTTTGCCAGCACAAATTTCCCGAAAGCGGCAGCATTCCTGAGCTGCCGCTTTCACATACAAGGTTTCAAAATAGTCACATAAAAGATTTCTGGCTACGCAACCGGCAGTCCCAGGCATCACAGGGGAGCCTCCTAGCAACAGTATTTCCGAGCAACCAGGTTGGAATGTGACGGGCATGCAGCCATGCACCTGTGGCTCAGATAGCTAATCACTCCAGTTGCGCGTGGAAGGAAGTCATATTCATGAAAGCAGACGGTCCGTGATGAAAGCAACCAATGGCATATTTATTTGCCGGGAACCGGCTCATTTCATTGGCTGAGATACTATCATCACTGTTTATCATCTAAGAATCTTCCAATTACTGACGGCAAGTTCTCAAAGGCCTTAAAGTTCGGTGGCCTACAGCTGAGCCCAAATGTATATGCTTTGTAACGAACAAAAGTGGCATTGTATCAATTTGAACAATGCGGCTATCAATCATTCTCTGGAAAGGCTTTTCGGAGCTGACATTTTATTTGGGCATTTTTTTCTCAGAGACAGGGGGAAAACTTTATGCGAAAAATGTGGGAAACTGAATTGAACGTGAAATTTCACCTCCGTGTTGTGTAGGCCTACATGCACATAAATAAACGATTGGGGGATGATATTCCAAGTCCAAATAATTCATTAAATGTAGGGCTCCCGATGCCTTTTTTTCGTAGTACGATTTTATTCTTCGCTTATTTAAAAAATAAAACTGCATGGCCTACATTATTCTTGTAAATGTTACTCTAGAATATAATTATTTCGGAATACATTTTGAAATTAAGTTTGAAGTCAAAGGGCTGTTGATGATCTTATTCGTATTCCTTTTAAAATTAGGAAAAACTAAGCATAATTCGTATTAAAATTTCCCCTGGTATCCACAAAAGAATTAACTGAGAGTTCAGAACTTAATGGGCTAGGGTGTTTGAAATCGTTTTACTTTAAAAATAAATCGAGAGAACAAGACATACTAAATCGTATTAAAATAACCCCTATTTATTTGATGTCTCTCTCTATCTGAGACCGGGACAATATAAAAGGGATGACGATTAATTCTTCGTGTATTTAAAAAATTAAACGCATGGCCTACATTATTTTGTGAAAATGTTTTACTCTAGAATATATTTTGGAATATATTTTGACGCTATTATTTGAGGGATGTTGTTAATCCTGATATATTCATTTAAGAATAAGAAAAACCGAGCATAATTCGTATTAAATTTCCCCTGGAATCTACAAAAGAATTAACTTAGAGTGCAAACTTTAACGGGCTAGGTTTTTTTTCATCATTTTGCTTTTAAAAAAAATATTTAGAGAACCAGACGTAAATCTCTCTCTGAGGTCGGGAAAATAAAAAAGGGGATGACGATTTTATTCTTCATTTATTAAAAAAACCCACATGGCCTACATTATTTCGTGTACCGGTACATGTTCTACTCTAGAATATATTTTGGAATATATTTTGACATGAAACATTAAATGCAAGTGCTGTATTAAATGTGCCCCCAATTCCAGCCGGGAAATAAAAGTGTCTTATAAAAATACATTCTTGCTTTGAAATAAATTTTGAGACAATGATTGACAGGCTACCTTCAAAACTTATACATTGTATATTTTTGTTTATAATTATGTATGATAGTTATGTTCAAAGCGATTGATTTGATGACCGCCCGTCCGCCCGCCATAATGACTCCTCAAAAACGAAAAAGACAGCCATGTTCTCAAAGGAATGTATTTAATGCCCGCCAGCCCTAAGACGACTCGTAAAAAAAAAAAAAAAAAAAAACAGTTGCGAAAAGGGGGGGGGGGGCACGGGCCGGGTGTGCCCCCGTCTGGATCCGCGCTTGTTTGGACGAAAACACTCACCTCAAATGGCTTCAATGCAAAATATCTATACCTTGTGCCTTTCAACTTAAGTACAACAGCCTTAAATCTTACCTACAGTGCAAATAAATTAATTTGTATCGTTTGGTGCACGAAGTGACGAATACGATAGTTTTGCCGCATCACGGGTCGTCTTTGGGTTGTTTGCATACATCACGTCACTTTTTGGTTTGGCAACTATCCACGATACGTCACTTCGTGGTGCACAAACCATTCCCGCACTCGCCCAATGTAACGAGCTGCTCCTTATACCTGCGTGCACAAACGAAATCACAATAGTCTGGTGCTATTCAAAAAACACTTTTGGTCGACCAATTGGCAAATACAACTGATGTAATATTACGAATTGCTCCCCATACCTGCACATCTATATCAAATGAAACCACTCTTGTGGTAGACCAATCGGCAAATTTACACATGATGAAGCAACACAAATCGCTCCCCATACCTGCACATCTATATATTACGAAACCACATACAGTAGTACGTGTTACTAAAAAAAATTACATGAATGTAATGTTACGAATTGTTCCCCATACCTGCACATGACGGATACACGGGTGCTTTTCAAAAATACTTTCGAAACACCAATTGGCAAATATATGAATGTAATGTTACGAATTGTTCCCACACCTCCACATTTATATCAAACAACGCCACAACAATCTGGTGCTATTCAACCAATATTTTCGATGGACCATGTGGCAAATACACTACTGCAACTTTGTTTTATTCAATAAATGGCACTAATACTTTTGGCAATGTGCGATCATGTGGTTCTTGATGTTTCGAGTAGGCTTTTATCCATACTACAAAAATATAATCCCATCACCTGTTACATGAAAAACAACATAGATTCGAAAAAAGTTTTGAAACCCAATAAAATAAGGGTTGCCTTGCTGTTTAAGAATGCCACAGTGTTTGCTCTCCTAAAGAGCATCTCTCTCGCCGCCACTTCCAAACATTTTTGCTTCCAACTTGTTTGTTGCTGTTCAGTAATACCTTTGATAAAGAAGAGAAAGTGTGGTCATCAACGTATCGAAGTCATAGGATGTATGGTTTTGAAGATAGCAGGACCTCCAACTCTTCTGAAATTTGTTTTCTATTCGAACTGATAATTTTGTTTTTATCCCGCTGGCTTTCAAGCCAGACGGGGATATTGCAATCGCACATTCCTTCTGTGTGTCCATGAGTATGTAAACACCGGCAATCGTGGACCTAGGACAACAGGATTGGGCACAAACAATACGTCCACGATTGACCGAACGTCCACGATTGAAAATCGTGTACAAAACCATTGAGAGCTGTTGCTAGTACAAACAAAGGAATGAGGATTAGGGACAATGGGGGTCCACGATTGCCGGTGTTATTACACAGCTGGATGTGCATATGTAACCGTGAGTTTGTTTCTGCATTCAATAGGGGACGATGAACAAAAGAGGACAATAGGGTCCCCAATTCCCGACGGGTCCCCAATTTAGAATCATGTATAAAACATATGGGAGGTCTTCCTAAAGAGTACAAACTAAAGAGGGACAATAGGGGGTCCCCGATTGCAGGCAAATATCGCGCGTGTATTAATGCATGTGTGATCCATTTTGGTTAGACCTCACTGTAAGTTCAGTCATCATTCTCAACCGAATTTGATATGCTGGTCCCTAGGGACACCGCGGCTACCGAGCTCAGGCCATTACATGTCAGTTTCTTTCTCTAGTGTCGCAAAACTTATAAGACACACAAAACACTAGGCCAGTTTACTGGTCCCTAGCAACACCGCGCCTACCGAGCATGAGGATGTTATGTACAATTTGGGGACACCATGGTGATTGTATGGACACCATGGGAACACCATGGGATTTTATAGACACCACAGGGACACCAAAAGGATTTTATGGATACCACTGATATGGGAACACCTTGGGGATTTTATTGACACCATGGGGACACGATGGGGATAAAAAAAAAAGACAGCATGGGAACACCATGGGGATATAATAAACACCATGGGAACACCATGGGACCATTCTGAATATCATGGGAACACAATTACACCAACTTGCACTCCCAATGGGCACACTTTTGTCCGATTTGCCTGTACGAGTGTTGAAAGAGCAATTGGGGTGTAGCAAATAAAGCAATGGAAGACCCTTACGATACCATGGGGATTCTATGGGTTTCCATGGGTTATCAAGAAATCCCTTTTTTATGCTAACCATGGGAAACTCATAGGAACACCATGGCCACCATAAGAACATTTTGCGGATTTGATGGACACAAATGGAACACCATGGGGATAAACACCATTGGGATAAACACCATGGGGATAAACACCATGGGAACACCATGGCACATTGTGTAAGAATTATGAGTGTTCTAATTGCAATTTGTTTAAATGCTCTGCTCGTAAGTGAAGGCAAATGAAACCTACAGTGTTTTTTGTGGAAATGAGAACAAGAACTATGGATAATAATTTTGATTCAGTTGTAATGATTGGAATCATTTATGAAAAATATAAATAAGGAAAATGGTGATAATATGGTAGAACTTGAAAAGTGGTATAGGCGCAATATGTACATTGTAGGCATTGGCCATGGAGTGATCAAGACACTCTGTATAGGGTTAATGGGACAATCCCCATAAGGCCTATGGGGTGCACAGCATAAATTATTTTACATAAAAATATAAACGTAAAAATCTTGTAAGAAAATTGCTTTGGAAATATCGATGGGAACAAAGTGGAATTCTTTTGGGATGAATCACCATGGGAAACATGGGACACCACCATGGCGAAAAGGCATTAAGGCACCATGGAAAACCCATGGGAATGTACACCATGAATTGCATGTTGTCAATTTTCTCCTTGGGAATCCATGGGAAAAATCCCAAGTCACAATACCCTATGGAAGTTGCCATGGGACATTTTTGTAAGGGAATCCCTCTATTTTTTCTAGTGGGGCCATACTTTGAGTCCACATACAGAGTGACTCAAAAAGAAGGAAACCCAAATGGCGCCCCTATTTTAAGCATAATTTTGCATGTAACGCTTTCCATATCTAGAATGTGAAGGCCCAATTAATAAGCCTTCTTTTAGTGAAAACATCATTCAAATCACTCATGTTCTTTTCCAGCTATGGAATTTTGGACACAATTTTAAGAATTTTTTTCACGATTCACATTTCATTGAATACGTGATATAAAATGAAACCATGTCCCATCATGAAAAGGATATCAGAATAAACCAATAAGTCTCAGGCAGCCAAGTAGAAGGCAAGGCTAGAGTATACACTCTTGACATTATAAAGCATGTTGTTTTAACAGTGGAAGTAGAGGTGTTTAAATAAAGGTTAAGTGCCAGTTCTCATGGTTATGAGATAGTTCTGATGTGGGTTTTTTTTTGATACGCGAGCTTTTTTGATTTGCTAAAATGTCACGTGCCTTTATTTTGATCTGTGGACAAAATTATAAAACCGTGTTTGTGTTTAGAAGTCCATAACTGGAAAAGTACATCAGTGATTTGAATGATCGTTTTAAAAAGAAAGCATTAACCCTATTGACCTAAGCTACAAAATACTACTGAGTAGTAACCTGTCGTATGCATTTCTTTCCATTCAAGTGTTCACAACACATTTGTAGTATTTGGTCCTTGACCCCCAAGAGCCCTTACGACGTTAGGTTAATTGGGCTTTCACATCCTAGATCTTGAACGCGCTACATGTAAAACTTCTTCAAAAAATATAGGGGGCGCCACTTGGTTTTCCTTCTTTTCTTTTCTTTCTTTGACTCACCCTGTATATTATTACTTACCTAATTGATTTATTAATCTTCAAATTTGTACGATCCAAAGCATGTGACTTGCAACAGGCGGCACATCCCCAGACTGACACGTCTAAAGTACAACAGCCAATCCGCTGCGCAGTACACCTGCGCACAGAACCATAGTATAAGTGCTAAATAGATCCACTGCATTCAGCAGCCATATCGGAGGTGTGTTTAGTTATGCTAATTCATTAACAACGAATACACATGAAGTCTAAGACTTACTGGAAGTCAACCTTTGTCGACCTTTAAAGCTTTAGTCCATCATTTGCAGCCATCCGAAAAGTAACTGGCGTAATTATTATTGAAAAACAAACTTGGTTGAAAGATAGTGAGGGAACTAAACTCCCTGTGAAATTATTCTTTCTGGGAAGTTGTCATTTTGAAGTAATCAACGAAAGAATGCATTTCCAACGGTGATTCTTAAGAAGCACCGTAGGAAAATTTAAATTAGTAGTTCGTTTGTTATTCAGCGCAGCGCGCATAAGTATTGGAACGACGCACACGCGCACGCGGTTGTTATAATTCGTCGGATCAGTGCGCTACGTCGCGTATAGCTGCAATTCAAAACAATTCAAAACATGATTCACTAACTTTTGATTTGAAATTGAGATCTTAGAATGCTGTTTTTTCTCGGAATGTACAGCTGAAACTTAGCTGAAACTTCATCAGGTTAGTTGTTCAGTATCCTTCATTAGATTTTGAACTCTTTTGTTGCTTCAAGCGAACAAAATGCACAAATTACAAATGATGGACTATAGCTTTAAGTTGAGAAGTATTAAGACCACTGATCTCTATATAAAGACTGGATAGCAGATATCCATACACCATTCACACAGTAGACTTTGCAAATTGACCAATTCGCCCCCGGTCTCACGAAGATGGCCGCGTATAATACGAACGTTCCACGCGTATATACAACGCGCGCTGTATCAAGAGTTGACGCCCATTTTGGTCACGTAAACGTATTGTGATGTTTTAAAAAGGACACATTTCCGCAGTGATCATTATTTCCAAAACGCAAAAAAAGGAACTGCGGCATTAAAAAAAGGAAACCACAACGTTAGAAAAATTGTAAACCGTGGTCAGTGGTGGTGGTCATAATAAAAATCAAGTGAACCGCGATGTTACAAAACTTGTCCTTTGTAGATCACCAGCCGATCTCACCGGTCTCACCAATATGGCGTCAAATTCATTCATTGTGCGGCTCTTTATCCGCTATCCAGTCTTTATATAGAGATCAATGATTTAGACTTACCATGACTATCCAGAGCAGAGCGTATCCCTGGATAGGTTCATTCAGTAGATGTTTACACACAGAATCAGCGGACCGAGAAGTGTGCTATCAAGAAGCTTCACCTTGGACTTGTACATGTAGGCAGTCTGCAATTACACAGTGTGCATACATGTATATGCTTATTAAGATGATAGCAGATACCAGGGGACGATGTGGGAGGAAGGGCACTTGCGCTGCCCCTCCCCTTCCAATTTCCCCACAGAAAAGCAAAACAAAAAAATAGGGGGAAACTTTAAAAAATGTGTACAAATGTATGGGAAAGTCTAAAATTCCTGGCGACACCCATAACCAACTGTGCTGTTCCAATTATTTCAAGGGAAAGTACAACATTTGCTTTTGCTGCAATTTTTCGACTTAAATGGATTTGAAGGATTAGTTTGTTATAGAAAATATTGTTAAACTGACTTGTTTCACTTTTGGGCTTGTAGATGCTTGAAAAACCAAGAAAACCAATCATGTTCTTGTAGTCTGGCTCCCTGGCCCAACTTAAGATGAAACGGAGCAATTTTAGACTTTGGAGAATTGTAACACATCAAGAGCTACGATTTTACAGGATGCTTTGGACTATCATTCTCTAACAATCCAGTAGGTATTTCGCGATAATTTGGTCATTTTGTTTTTTGATGTTTGCAAATGTTGTATCTTCCCTTTAAATGGTAAAGTAGCCATACAATTGAGCTTGTTTTCCACCCTTTGATGTAATGATGTACATGTAACCCCTTGATGTGACACACCACTACTGCTCAGTTTCAAATTTTCCCGATTGTCTTTTCAAAGGGCTAATTTCCCTCACCAAAAGCAACAACATACTTACCATGAACTGGTTGGACATCTTGGCCTCAATCAGTCCAAAGATGATCAGGAAGACACAGGGTTGACGCTCATACAGATTGGTCATGACCTTGGTGACAATTGTAAGCAGAAAGGCTGTGGCGATATGCAGTGATGGTCCAAACAAACTAGTGCCCTGAAACAAAAACAAATTCCGAGATTTTCAAATAAGTCAGCTCAAAATAAGTGAGACGTCATCTAGTCAATCAATATCTTTACACAGTTTCCTCATAAAAAGAGGAGTCCTTTGTACAGTGGCATAACCAGGACAATGGAGATGCAAGAAACCGAATTTGACTCCTATTATCGATGCATTCCATCATACAGACATTTCAATGGCAGTAAAAAGTGATAACATCGTGAGAAGACCCACTCAAACAAACTGAACATGGAGAGTTCAAAGATGTGTTTTGGCACAACCGAGTACCACTAGAGCAGGAACCCTAGAATTGTCTAGTCAGATTAATGGCATCAAAGAAGCCTGAGCGTCTGTCATTAAGATGATGAGCTCCAAGCAGCATTGCCTCTGATCCACCTTATAATTGGTGGATGGGATAATACTATTTTGCCAAAGGCTGACAGTAGTATGGTGGAGGATCATGTTATCTCAGTAGTGAAACGTCATGAGTCCGCACATTTCTGGTGTAAAAAAAAGTTTAAAAGCTGTAGAGGTATGTGGGAGCATGTGCGATTCGCAAGACCCGTTGGGAATCAAACTGTAAACTGGCCAGCCCTCTCAATCTATCTTAATCCTTTGTCCAAACGGTGGCTTTATCATCCCTAACACTTAGTTTAATAAAGCCACATGTGCTGTCACACAGCTGATATTGACAAGTGCAGGGGATTAGCAGCAGTATCTGATAACAGGGGCCAGTTTGTTGACAAAGGGATTAACAAGATAAGAGTGTACCACTAGAAGTACATGTACTGTATTCTTTCGTAGTTTGCAGGCCCTTACTCAGAAAGCTGCTAGACTGAGCACTTACACATGATACAAAAGAGATGGTACTTTGAATAGCAAAATGAAATCATGAACTTATGTCAAAGGGATGGCAGGAGAAAGAGGTTACATGATCAGCAAATATGAGCAAACTCAAGAGCTCAAGAAAGCACTCTCTGAGAAAAGAGGAAGTATAATGGCTGGCGGGCCACAAGGTACTGTGGGAAATAAATCTTAGCGAATGGTAAGCGCTCTCCGGGGAATAATGCATATGTAGTGATGCTTTATGGGTAAGAGGAGCACAGTAGAATAGTGATGGACGACTTTTATTTTTCTGGTAGCCACTTCACAAGGTGTGTTTCAAGAAGGCCTACAACAAAACATTTTTTGTTTGGAACCCAAATGAATTTTCGAAATCACTTACAGCAATTGTGACACGGTGGCCCCGTCCCCAAACAAAGGCAGCTTGGTTGAAAAACTTTAAAATGCTCGACATCGCTGTTGCAATTATTATCAGCTCCCTCCACTCCAACGCAAATGCCTTAGGAAGATAAAGAAAAATAACGAAAGTCAACATCAAATGAACTTCATTTTCCTTGCTTCATAGACTTAACTGGCGAGCGCTTTTAGAAAATGTGTATGTATGTTTGTGCTCACGCACATATTATAACACGCACTCTTTTCTTTTAACTTCTAAGAGGATGTGCGTATTACGTCACTGGACCAATTGGACAAAGTGCACTATGTCAAAGACATGCGTAATGTGCACGCCTTCAGTCCATAATTCAAAAATCAATTGTCAATTTCATGATCACTCCTCCTTTTTTGACCGAATTTTTCATGACGTCACAGCGACTGCGTCTTGATTGTTACATCATCATTGAGTGGCAGCGCAGCAAGTGAAAATTACTACGTACGTATTCGGTGCGAAGGCACTGACCAAATGCAATTCAATGATGACGTCATAAAATATGTAATGACATCAAGCGTTGCTTACAAGTGTGCTTTATTATCAGAGTGAGGTGTGGACATGGGGACGTCATTTCAAAATTTGTCTATGGGCCATTGGTTGAATGAGCGTAAAGTCTGCGCATGTGATATGTGCGGTAGTGTTAAAGTACCTCATAATTGCCCTCTACTTGTGGTTGTTAGATTTGTCAATAGGCAGTTTATATTACATGCGCAATCAGGCAATCAAGGACTTGTACAAATGTCCATTCGAAGTTTATAAGTATCACCTTTTTTCCAATGTCAGAAGTGTATTAATGACCTCCAGCGATTGTTGGTGTTTTTTTTATTTGGCGATTTGTTTTCTAATGAAAACGACAGTACATCATCCATGAACTTTTGTGACCATATAAGGTTACATACAAACACAAATGGTGTCTGCAATCCAGGTTCATCTACTTCAAAAACAGTAGTCTTTTTTATCATCAGATAGCTAGCTTTTGATGCACAATCACGCAATAGAGGACTTATAGCAAAAGTCCACTTGGAGTTTGTTAGTATCTCCCTTAATTCCACAGTTGCAATCTGTTGAGATCTTTACAGGACCAAAATATGGAAGGTCTGCGGTAACACCCATGTGAAATTTTATCTGTTTTGAGTTCTGTGGCTCTGAGAACCAGTTGTTTTCAACTGACACTTCGAACAGCTTTGCGAGTAACCGCCACTAGAAACTTCTGAGAGAAAACAGTCAATCTTAGTGTAAACTGGCCAGACCTCTGATCTATCTTAATCCTTTGTCCAAACAGTGGCTTTATACTCCTAACACTTAGTGTAATCAAGCCACATGTGCTGTCACACAGCTGATATTGACAAGTACAGGGGATTAGCAGCAGTATCTGATAACAGGGGCCAGTTTGTTGACAAAGGGATTAACAAGATAAGAGTGTACCACTAGAAGTACCGTATTGTTTCCGAGTTTACAGGCCCTATCTCGGAAAGCTGCTAGAAGCACTTACGGATGATGGTGTGCTCTGTTCGTCATCAGTGTCTCCTGACGACGAACATCGATTTAAAAACAGCTGGTTCTTCTCAGAACCACACAACTCAAAAGAGATAAAACTCACATGGTGTTACCGTAAACCTTCCATACTTTGTTCACGTCCATCATGCAAACCTACAAGTCTCATGTATAGGACCAGTGGCATATAAAACATTTTATGGCATGAAACTGTTTACACCAGCGATCTAATACAGATGCCAACAGCGGTTTAAAAGCACAAACAATTTTTAGCATGCTGAACGATGATATTTGTTCATTTTGGGCTGATAATTGTTATGAAACCTTTTGGCCCAGATATGTGGGCCCATGACGGCTGTAGCCAGATAGCCAAAGCACAGAGCCTGCTGAGCCTCAAGTACATCAAACCTGTCAGAAACGAAACCAAATGAACCAAACACAATTCTGTAATTCTGTAATAAATATGTAATTCTGTCGGTTTATGGGGGAGAGCAAGGATTCCTCAAAAGTGTAGGGATGCTGTAGCTCGGAAGCTTGAGGTTATCTGAACAAAGAAGACAATGAAGAATTATTTTTAGAGGCGGGAGGAAAACCCCGGACTGACAATGTTGTGCTGGTGAGCGGGAGTCATTTCGCAATGCCGATTGATAATCTGGTCGGTAAAAATCACTGCAAAGTCTTCATAAAGGATGTTAGAGTAACTTTTCCCTGTGTGGCACCACAAGGTTGTCTTCGCTTTGTCTCTCCATCCAGATTTAATTAATAATAATAATAATAATAATAGTGGATATTTATAAAGTGCACGTTTCCACCAGGACTGGTGCTCAAGGCGCTACATCATTATTACCCTGCTCATTGGGCCAATGAAACATTCCAAAGACAATCTCAGCTCCATGGGGAGTATACACTGCTCGATGCTGCCATTTCGGCACAAAAAGCAACTAAAAATCAGTCACACTTTTATTGTGAGGGTAGAGATGGTGCTTCAAAGGTACCCATTTACTCCTGGGTGGGAAAAAGCAATGAGTGACAAAGTGCCTTGCCAAAGGGCACAAGCACCATAACCCCAGGCTGGACTCGAACCCACAACCTGCAGAATTACCCGCAGACCACAAGTTCAATGCTCCAGACCACGAGGCTACGGCACTCTATAAATACGTCGCTCTACACACGACTGTACATGTATGTCATAATAACTTTTTACAGGAAAACGCCTTGTAGAACCTTTCAGAAACAAAAATCGGAGAAAAACAAGTGAAAAACAAAACAGCAGGCCCACACCGTTTTTGCGCATGCGCTTGGAGCGCAGAGCACGTGTGAATATAGCTCCAGTCACCTGAACGCAATTTACTTGGGCTTAAAGGGCTCATGAAGTGAATATTTCTTAGGGACATAGTTTGTGCTACTTTCTAATTCTTTTTAAGCGTATGAAAACTAAGTGATATTACTTTTTGGTTAATTTTGTTGAAAAGTGCACTTCTTTCAATGTTTAAAATTTCCAAGCTTTTCCGGAAAACTGAGAGCAATGTTGTCGTGATGTCATTTCAGGGAGACACTGTTCATATCAGGTGTGTTTCTATTGAAATAGTGAACCAAAATAATGCTCATTCAAAACATTTGTGAGAAAAGTTTGCTCATTAGCTTTCTGCCATGAACAGACACAGCAACGAATCACTAATGAAAAGAAAGTATTCAGCGAAATATTCAAATGTTGGCAACTTTCGTGCATAAACTAATTGCAACACTGATATGACATCGCACTTTTGATTATGAACATGGAAATTCGCAATAGCATATAAACCAAAATGGCGCCAAAATACCCTTGAAACACGGTAAATTGAAAATTGAAAATAAGATTAAAGGGACACAAAGGTGCATTTTCTGGGATTGCATTAAACAAAATTACATTTCATGGGCCCTTTAGGTGGTGACGAACTGAAATGCCACTGAGTATACAGTGTTTATGAAATATGTCGGTAAAGGCCTTTACCGGGCAAAATCGTATATTGATTCCTTCGGAATGGTAACTGGGAAACTTACGTGGTAAATCGCACCAATCCAGAGATGTAGGTCTGCCAGTGTGCCGTGAAAAAACATGAACATTGCCGTCAGCATAAACGGTACAAAGAGATCCGGCCGACCGCCTATCTTCATGCAGATACCAAACTCAATGGTGACACACACTGCAAATAAAAAAGTACATACTTCTTGTTTTGTTATACTTCCGAGGAAAATGCTTTGTGTTTCCCTTGTCCCTGTAATTTAACACTCTCCCATAGACTGAGCACACAAACTTACTACAGAGGACCGTTTTGAATAAAAGACCCAACTCCCGAGGACTAAAATTATATGTTGTTCTCCTTTGTGTGTCTGTCCTCGGGGTAATGTAGAACAAGTACACGATGGCTGGTATGGGCTCTGTGCACAAGTACCCCTTCGTCAACGGTCAGAAAGGGAGAGCTGGGGGAGACCTAGACTGGTTTCCCGGTCCATCCACTGCGTATTTCGAATGATCCAAAGTTATTGGGGGCAGGGATTAGTATGGGAGACCGTCGCAAGTTAAAACTTCAGAGAGAGGGGTGGGGTGGATAGGGTATCACAGTCAACACATAACAGACCAAAAGCCAGAAACAGAGAATCAAGACTTGCAAGATTGAGTGCAGTCACTGATCCAGGGGGTGCAGAGAGGGTGCTCGTCAACCCAGCAATGACCGAAGAAAGTTGTTTTTCACTTGAGAGAGCACTTTTGCCTGTGGCGCCCCCCCCCCCCCTCCCCCACGGATCTGCCGTTGGAGTGATGACAAAAGTATGCAGGGAACTTAAGGAAACAGCCCTTTATAATTACCTTTGGTGATCGAGTCGCAAGCATGGTCGAATAGTTCAGCAAGCTGCAGATGCCAATTCAGCTTTGTCTTGTGCCTCAAACACTGCCGCCCGTCTACGGAGTCACAGGTTTGGAAGAGAAAGATGTTCACGCCAGCCAGTGCGTACGCCCAGCGTGGAGCCTGCAGTGGCGGAAAAAAAGCAGCGTGGAGGGCAATAAAAACTGTCAGCAGACTTCTGCATACTATTTGATCTTTATTCAGTGAGAAGCCAGGTCAGTTTGACAAAAGGCAGCGCATAATCATAGCTCATAGCTAGGTCTAGCTATAGCGCGACATGTGCCACAAGTACGAAGGGTCATGCATGGATGCGTCCATTGTATTTTGTCAAGTATATTTGTCAAGTATTTTGACACTCACTGCTTTCCTGTACAATATTATTAATACATTGGTTAGAGATGTACAGAAACGTAAAAAAAAACTCTGGAATGGGTTTATCCCTGTTGAAAACAACAATAAATTGAAAGACTGTATTTTAGATCCCTTTCGTGTATGGTACAATCCTACTTAAATTACCACAAATGTTCTCTGGAAAGAGATGAGTGCTGTGATTGGATTAGGAAAAAACCCTCCTTCGCCCTCCTCTAATTAAAAATATTCTTTTATTGTTGGAAAGAGCATTTCGTACAGTTATTCTGCCCTGCGATATGGCTTGGTGCGATAAACAAAACTGTTCGATTAAGTGACCGAACCCCGGAAAACGGCCAGAAAACGTGTTGACCTCCATAGGAAATCAGGATTTTTCATGTTTATATTACCATTTTTCAACTAAAAAAATTCCCAATTTTCAGGAACATGCTATACAATAAAAATTGATTATCTTGAACAGTATGGTTTATACTTTCAAATGCTAAGCGATATGGTAGATAGGCCTATTTACTTTTATCATAATTACATGATATACTGATAAACGCAGCGACAATGTTTTCATCAGTTGTAAATTATTCGCTGTGCTTTTTTACTAGGCATTGCAAATATCGATCAGTAAAAATATCAGTACGGCTA